ACACTCTAGTGACTAGATTGTGTCTCAGTGTATTATTTCTGATTAAAAAGGACTAGCACTTTATGTAGAAAAAGCTGATTGCAGATGGGGCTAGGTACTGTGCCGGCTGAACCTGGATTGTTCTGTTGTAACAGAAAGCAAAGGAGTTCTCCTAGGTTATTGGAGTCCTGTCACAAGATGCAGGAGTCAATATGAAGAAGCTTGCATTGACTGACTAAAGATGAGGTATTTGGAGCATCAAAAGGAATTAATGCATTAGATTGATACACTCAAAATATCTATGACTGTGAATTTATGATACTGAAAAGAAGTAAACATTTGGTCCTCTTTGGACAATGCCAGAACGCCAATTCCTTATTCTGAAAATACAATTGTGAAATAACAATGCCTTTGAACTGCTGAAAGAAGAGATGGAGATGAGGATTTTCATGAAGCTGATTTATTTTGGAACGAAAAGTGCTTTAACGAAAGGTGCTTTAATGAAATTGCTGAAACGAAATGGTACCTTAGAGAAATGTACAGAATGCCTTGCAGATGAAGAGAGGCATTTATGTCCTGGCTAGTACCCTTCTCTTGTAAACTGTGTATTGTTTTGAGGGTTTCATCTCCTTTGCTTCTAGGCTGCTCTTCTACTCTTCTGAGGCGTTGGAGAAAGCCCTGAAGTAAAACAGAGATGTCTGAGTGTGTGCTTAGGGGTGGAAGGAGGCAGAGCAAACCTCACTGTACCTAGGCCCTGTCTGCCACAGCTGTGGATGAAATCAGACCCGAGTGAGGGGTTGTGATAAGAGGCACAAAACCATCCGCTGCAGAAGGGAAATAATCAATTATTTATCCTGTCTTCACTGTACCTACTGTGCTTCAGAGTTCCAAATATTTGACAAGAGAAAGTGTTTTTTTTTTGTTTTTAAATAACGCTAGGTTTTTGGTTTTTTTTAATGTTGTTACTTATTTGGGGGAGAGGGGGAGAGAAGGAAAGAGGATTGGAAATGGGCTCTGCGCTGACACCAGAGGACCCGATGTGGGGCTTAAACTCATGAACTGTGAGATTATAACCTGATAACCTGAGCTGAAGTCAGATGTTTAAGTGACTGAGCCACCCAGGCACCCTAAGAGAAAGTTTTTGTTTTGTTTTTAATACTGATGGATCGGTTCATTTATTTATTCATTCATTTTATTTTTGAGAGAGGGCACAAGTTAATCCCTGGAGGGGCAGAGGGAGAGAGAGAGAGAGAGAGAGAGCACGCATGAGCGAAATGGGGCTTGAGTTCTACCCGAAGTGGGAGCTCACCCAGTGGGCTCAAACTCATGAACCATGAGATCATGACCTGAGCGAAGTCATGCTTAACACCTGAACCACTCAGACACCTGAGAAAGTTGTTCTTAATAGAAGAACTCAAGCTAAAAAAAAAAAAAAAAAAAAAAAAAAAAAAAAAAAAAAAAAAAAAAATACAGAAGCCATGATAAAATGAGAAAGTTAGTTTCAACCTTGAATGAAATAATGGATTTAGGTAGTGATCATTCATGATTGCAGCATCACAGAAAGACAGCTAGAGATAACACATCTCCTTGTGGAAGTATAAAACACTGCTTGTGATAAATTATTGTATCTCCCCAAACAGACAACAACAAAAAACAAATTGAATCTTCAGATCTAATTACTACATTTACAGGGGACAGAGGAGAATACTAAACAGCACCATGGGGGTGTAATTAGCAAAATCCACGCAGTGAAGAATCTATAGGACAAATGACAGGATTTGGGTTTTTTCTCCCCCAAATAAGTTGCAAGGGGGAAAAAAAAAAAGGAAACATGGGTTATGAGACTAGAATCATAATCAGCCAAATGCAGTGTATAGCTCTTTTGGGATACTGATTGAACAAATTAATTTTTTTAAATTGTAGGGGCGCCTGGGTGGCGCAGTCGGTTAAGCGTCCGGCTTCAGCCAGGTCACGATCTCGCGGTCCGTGAGTTCGAGCCCCGCGTCGGGCTCTGGGCTGATGGCTCGGAGCCTGGAGCCTGTTTCCGATTCTGTGTCTGCCTCTCTCTCTGACCCTCCCCCGTTCACGCTCTGTCTCTCTCTGTCCCAAAAATAAATAAAAACGTTGAAAAAAAAATTTAAAAAAATAAATTGTAGAACTGTGACTAGATATTTAATATTAAATTTTTGTTCATTTTTAAGGATTGATAATAGTATTTTGCCTACTTAATCATTTTAAAAGAGATGAATATTCATAAATAAAAGGTATAAGAATGACAAATTTGGTGCAATGAGTACATTCCAGGAGGCAGGTATTTGGAGTGGGAGAGAAGCATGGGTAGCTTCAATTGTCTTGTTCTAATTATTTGGGTGGTTGTGTTCCTAGATGTTTTATGCTTTATAATATAAAAATATTACATATCATTGTATATGAAATTCAATATACTAAACAATTACTGAAAACGACACAAAAGGGATACAGTGGATGAAATTCAGAATGAGTAATCATGCAGGATTTATGACCTGTCAAGTAAATGGCAAAAAGAATTCTGCACATATGTACATCTGGTTGGGATCTTTTCTTTCCTTCCCCTCCCCTCCCCTCCCAAGCTCCACACCCAGTGTGGGGCTTGAATTCAGAACCCTAGGTTCGTGAATCACATGCTCTACCAACTAATCTAGCCATGCACCCCTTAACTCTCATCAGAATCCTGATACGAATAAGCCAGCTGTACAAAGATATTTATTAAACAACTGGAAGTAGAGTGGATATATGATATCAAGGAATTTTTGTTAAACACTTTGAGGAGCAGTGATGGCTTTATAGGTTTTTTTTTTTAAGTTTTAAATGTTTTATTTTTAAGCAATCTCTATACTCCTACTTAAAACCCCAAAATGAAGAGTTGCATGCTCTACCGACTTAGCCACCCAGCCATCCTTAAAGATTTTGTTTTTAAGTAATTTCTACACTCCATATGGGGCTTGAACTTAAAAATCCCAAGATCAAGAGTTGTGTGCTCTACAGACTGAGTCAGCCAGTTTTATAGTTATTTAAATTTTTTAAATGTTTTATTTATTTTGAAAGCATGCACATGCTTTCATGAGAGAGGCAGAGGGAAAAAGAGGGAGAAACAGAATCTGAAGCTGACTCCAGGCTCTGAGCTGTCCGCACAGAGCCATATGCGGGGCTTGAACTTGCAAACTGAGATCATGACCTGAGCTGAAGTCAGAAGCTTAATGGACTGAGTCATCACGACACCTCTATGGTTATTTTTAAACAAAAGTCCTTTTATAGCTGTTTACTGATGTATTTCTGCATGACAGGCCATGTAAGTGGAACTTGGCTGGTACTGGTTTGAGTTATAGATAAACAAGATAAGGTGATGGTACTTAATAAATGAACCTGGTATGGCATATGGAGGTTGATATTTTTCTAGTTTTATGTAATTTTGAAAATTGTTACAAAATCAGTTTAAATCAGTTGCATTGATTACTAAAGATCTTGAAGATGCTCTTTGGAATCTATGGGAGCTTCTCTGTTGCTCCTTTATTCTGTAATTAAACTTCTAATAGTATTTTTTCCTAGTAAAGAGTATTGAATTGTCATTATAACTAATATTTCAAGCACAGTAAGCATTTTTGAAGATTTTTATCTGTTATCTGAGAACTTAAACTTTACCTCATTTTTCCTTGTGGGGGGAAACCTTTAAATTCTATATGATAAAATAAATTCTGTTAAGGCTTTTTTTTTTTTTTTTTTAAACAATAGTTGATTAAATGTTCCAGTTTTTCTCTCTCCTTATGAGGTGTAAGAAAATCATTGGAAATGCTAGTAGTTTCTGGTTAGAGCTGTGAATTCTTGTGTTTTTCTTCCCCTTTATAGATGATAATAAATTCTATAATCTATATTTATATAGATTTAAGTATCAGTTGATTGTTTATCAGTTGATTGCTTCTCAGGTGCCAAGCACTGTTCCAGTTTCTGAGAATGAGATGCTCTAATTGGTCTCTGTTCTCAAAGTGTGTGTTTCCTATTGTTTTTCAGGTGTATGTCAGCTGGAGGTAGAACACCAACTTAATTTGCTTCCTGATAGTTAAACTGAACTTTAATGATTAGGTAATCATACGGTAGATATGTATCAATATCTATTTTCTTGACTCTGAACTATTTAGGATCAAACCTAAATATAACCTAATGTTAAAAGCTGGGATGGGAGATGAGTGAAGCAAGTGATAGTATTTTTTTTTCTTTTTTAAATGGATGAACTTGACAGGGCCCCTGGGTGGCTCAGTCGGTTAAGTGTCTGACTTCAGCTCAGGTCAGGATCTCTTGGTTTGTGAGTTTGAGCCCTGCTTCGGGCTCTGCACTGACAGAATGCTTCGCATTCTGTGTCTTCCTCTCTCTCTGCCCCTTGGCTGCTCACATTCTGTGTCTCTCACTCTCAAAAATAAACATTAAAAAAACCAAAAAATGAATGAACTTGATTTACTTATATTATTTTTTCATAAAATCTAAACTTGTTTTATTTATTTGTTGGTTTAAAGTGATCTCTACATACAATGTGGGGCTCAGAGTCATGACTGAGATAAAGAGTTGCATGCCCTACCAACTGAGCTAGCCAGGTGCCCTCTGGATTTACTTGTATTAATAGGGGGGAAAACCTAATACTGAGGTGGGGGGGAAGAAAAGAAAAATCACTTGGAAAACTTATATATAGCAAATTTACATATAAAAAATGTGGAATGCTTCATGAATTTGCATGTCATCCTTATGCAGGGGACATGCTAATTGCTCTATTGTTTCAGTTTTAGTGTATGTGCTGCCGAAGGGAGCATGGATCACGCAAGTGATGGGGCTTTGTGTACAGCTGACCTGATAAGTACAGTGGGGTGGGATGGATTTTCTCAAGTACTTCCCAGGTCAGAAGTTTGTTTTTTTGTGCTGGATGGTGAGAATTCATACCTTTGCTGGGACGCTTGTAATCTTGAGCCTTTTGACTCTTAAACTGGTAAGAAGGGAGCATGGGGTTAGGAGCAGAGGAGAAACTGCAGAGTTTTAAATAAGTTACTGACTGATTAAGTGGGAAAGAACAACTCTAGATGTGAGAACAGTAACTATATGAAAATAATCCTGATGTTTGTCTAAAATGAAACTTGAGAGAATCCGATAATGGAAACTAGACAGCCGTTTAGGAAAAAGAATTATTTTGGAGTAACTACCAATAAGTAAATGGATGTTGGATATACATTTTGAAGAATGCGTTGAGAAAACATGGCTAACGGATTACTTCTAATATATGAAAGATGGTATTCTATTCACAGAATTTCTTGGGAGCCCTGTGAGGTAGATACTTGTTTTTGTGATAAGAATAATTACCTGCTAGTTGACCTAAACTCTGTATGTACACTTACAGGTGTACTTGTGGAGAAAATTTTCGGTAATACATATACCCACAAAAGAGTCCAATGGGGATGAATACTTAGTTACTTAAAACTGTGCTGCTAATTGTTACTGTCAGGTGCTTGAATAAAACTTAGTACTTGCATATGTGTAGTTGGATGTGTGTAGTAAATCTTAACTTCCTTGGTTACTCAGGATAAATAATTACATAATGTTGAGTAATATTTCTGCTCCCTACAGCAATATATAGCAATTGTGTAATCTGTGTATTACACATCTTAGTAGAGTATATTCTTAAAGGCTTTTATGGGAAATATAAAATTTATATATACAGAAGCAGAGAGAGCGCATGTGTCTTGCAGCTTTAACAATTAATAGCACATGAGTTACTATGAAAGAAATCCTAGGCTTAGCATTTCATGTGTAAATTCTGAGACTATGGTGGTAGTTGAAATTTTTTTCTCTTAAATTGACCTGCTGTCTTACCATCTCTATGGTGTATTGTCCCTGATGATTGTGCTTTGCTTTACGGTCCCATAAAAATAATTTAAAACTGCTTTTTCTTCTTCCTTAGTTTACAAACAGGATGTACCTGAGTTGGGTTAACTTACATGTTGTTTATAGTTCCCTAAGGGATAGGTGGTATCTGGTATTTGTTCTCGTGCTTTGAGGGGAATGCAGAGACAAAGGACTAGGTTATGAATCTGATCTTGTGGTTTGCTGTGGTACTTCAAAATAAGTGGGTTATTTGACCAGGAAGGAAACTTCTAATTTTAGAAGTTAAGTAATTTAATTATTTCACTTGATATGTTAAGCCCAGTTGCTAAACTTTTTCTTTTTCTTTTTTCTTTTTTTTTTTTTTTTAATACCTAGTTGACTATAAATTCCTTTCCCTTCTAAGGAGGTGATTTTGTGTGTGACACCTATGGTACAATCTCACATAATTGATATCTCTTCCTCCCTTCCTCCCTCTGACAACATTTAAAAAAGGGTAGAAGAAGAGAGGATATATACATTACAGTAAATATTGTATATAATCAATATTATGTGACCTACATATTTACATATGTGGGCATGTGAACTGAGGTCTTTTTTTTTTTTTTTTGGTATTACGATAAGAAAATTTAATGAATCAGAGTGGTTAATAATAATTACACATGCAATGAGTTAAGCAGTATCCAAACGATTTACATACATATAATACCAAAGAGTTTAATGGACAACACAAAGATACATATATGTAAGATGCTGAGACATTTACAATTGTGTTAGGTGTCAGCAAAACCATGTAGTAATATTTTGTATATATAACAAGTGAATATAAAGAATGCTAAATAACTCTAATAGCAAGTTTGAGTAGGTAAGGAGACAAATTGACAGCATTTTTGATGAATAAAGACATGATGCACATTTCCAAATGGCAGCCAAAATAACCTCACTTGGAAAGGTTTTAGGCCTAACAAAGTCCATAAACTTGATGAAGGCAGAAATCTTAAATATATTTTTGAGTATTATGCAATGACAATAGAAACCATCAATTTAAGTATAATCAAAAAGTAATACCTAGCTAAATGCATATTTCATTTAAGATCTTTTATATAACTACTAGCTAGAAAATTCAAACGACTTTTTCCTTAAGTTCTTATTTTAATTTGAGTTAGTTAACATACAGTGGTAAGGTCAGGATTTTAATGTTTTTTTTTGTACCATGGAGTCCTTTGGTAGCCTGAAAGTTAGGGATATCTTAGGATGTTTTTCAAGGCATAAAATACATAGGATGGTAGGAAGTTAATTATTTTGAAATACATTTAGTAAAATGTTAAAACTCATAGTTACAATATGTACTTAACATAGTAAGTTCTAGCAACATGTCTAAGTTTCACAGTAATGGGTGTAGATGATAAAGGTCTGCAACAAGTTATAGTGATACAAAAATATCTGATGTTAATGTCAAAATTACAAGTAGTGTGATTCTACTAAACTTACATGCCAACATTCATAATTAAAGGAGTGCTAAATTTCATGTAGGGGATAGTGAAAAAATAAATCAGTGGTTTTTACTCCCCCTCCACCCATCCAGATGTCCCAAATCTGTCTATGGTCCCCTTGGCTGTGATCTCAGATTAAGAACATTTGTAGTACGGCCCCATAAATTAAAAAAATTTTTAATGTTTATTTATTCTTGAGAGAGAGAGAGTGAGCACAAGCAGGGGAGGGGCAGAGAGAAAGGGAGACAGAATCTGAAGCAGGCTCCAGGCTCCCGAGCTGTCAGCACAGAGCATAATGCCGGGCTTGAACTCCCCAACTGTGAGATCATGACCTGAGTTGAAGTTGGAAACCGACTGAGCCACCCAGGCGCCCCAGTGTGGCTTTTAAAATAAGCTGTAATAATCCAATGCTGCTGGATCTCCAAATGGTCTCAGTATGCATCCTGTGATTAACTTTGTCTCCTTTTTCCTTCTTTGGTTGTGTTTTCTTACTGCGTATTGCCTTGTAGTTAATGTAAATATTTTAAAGCATCCATGGTGGCTATTAATGTCTTTGGCTTTCATACTCTTTTTTCTTTTATAAAACATTTTAATTCTTCTGCAGGATCCGGAAACTTCAGATAAGGAATATTCCGCCTCACTTACAGTGGGAGGTAAGAATTTCTATATTTAAAGTTAAGATTTCTGTATTTAAGCTTATTGTTTTTAGTTTTTCGAAGGGTTTTTCTTGTTCCCTCAACTCTGGGTTGTGCTAAAACACAAAATTCTCTCTTGTGTATGTCTTGCTGTGGGCTTTTCTCTGCAGGAGCATAGTGTCTCTCTTAAAAATCTGCTCATTAAAATAAAAAAAAAAATCTGCTCTTTGATATACTTTAATGGGGTAGTTTTCCTCATTCAGTCCCATCCTAACAGAATCTTGTTTGGGATCTTTCTGATGAGTTCGCCAGTTATATTTAAATATGAACTTCCCTCCTTGGCACATTTTTTAAAGACACCTACCTGCTATTTATACTTTATTTTAAAATGTGAGCTCAGCTTTCTTTTGCTCGGATGGTGGCACTGTAGTAACTGTATAAACAAACCATTTAGCACAGTTGAATAGCCAGTGTCCGTAATTTCCAAAGGATAATAATGACGTCATGGTGAGAATTTGAGATATCACTGGTTGAAGAAATAAAATGTCTTTTGACTCTTGCTGATGATGGAACCTGAAAGTTCTTAAAATTTATTTGGGAGAGATGGTGCAGGGAAAACTCCTCAGCTTGCATGTATTTTTAATATAAAAACAAAGAGTAACTAGCTTTGTGTGTTTCATATTAGTTTTCTGAAATGACATTTGATGAGTCAGTCACTAAACCAGAACCTTCACCAAAATGCAAAGGATGGTTGAAAGGTTTCTTTTATGGTCAATTAAGGTGTGTTGGTCTGAGGTATGATTCGTCCAATGTCTCAGTTGGTAACAAATCATTTATGCTCATGATATTTTATACAGCATTTATTTTCAGAACAATATAATTGGGTTTAAACTTTGCTGGAAGAGGTGGTTCTTAGATATATACTGAATATTTTCCAAGTTATATAATGTATAGAAAGTATATTTTTGTAGATGGAAACAGTGACTTTTAAGATTAAACCTAATGGATTTTCCTGTTTTAGATTAACATTGGTTTAGGAACTTGAGTAGCTTGGAGCATGGGTACCCAAATCAAGTGTCATGGTAATCAAGATTACTGATTGGATCCCCTTATTTTAACATGGGCCATGTTAAATATGAGTTTCTGTTTGAGAACTAAATCTAGTGTAGCTTTCAATGAAATCGTCAAAATGGTAGTCGTCAATTTTAAGTGAGTGAATATTGGCGTACTAGCACATCAGCTGTAGGCAAGTGGCAGTTCATTCATAAGATCTCTTCAAATTTAGATTACAGTGACTTCTGAAGCATTTACTTTATTGTATTTTTGGTGGCTTCTCAAGCTTTTAGTTTACTGTATTATTTCTCATTCTGGATAAAATTTAATTTATGAGAATAAATCTTTATTTGCCATGTACAACTTTTTCTTTTATATTTCATTTTATCCTCCCACTAATCTTTTGAGGTAAGGTGAAATTGGAGATGTTAACTCCATTTTCAGATGGATAAATATGGGCACAGGATTCAAAGAATTAAGTAGGAATGAATACTAAATTGTAAGCATGGAAGTAGACTTTGAAACTCTTGACTTTTGACCTCTTACATTTTTTAAAAATGGTTGAAATACTGATAAAACCAATTTGGTGAGGAATAGAATGAGTTATTGTGATGTTTCCTTTCCTTGAAGACTTGAATGAACACCATCTGTTACTTCCTTTTTGAGATGAGTCACTTTTTATAACGTTTTATTTGTACATACTGAGTATGGTGTCTGTCTTGTGCCAAAGCCTTATTGTAGGCAGTGATAATTTTGGATTTAAAAGTCCAGATTGCCTTTATAATGGAGGGGTTAAACTTTGAATCCACTCATTAATCTTAGTTTCACTGATAATGGAATGGCCAGATGTTGCGTACTTCCTGATTTGATGAAATAGCAAATACACAGAAACACGGGTGAAATATTCTTGTCTAAAAAAATAGAGATTTGACTGTATTCAATTTCAGTCTAACTTTGAATTACCAAAACTAGAGAGGATAGAGGCACAACTTTAAATGATGCCACGAAGAAACAACTAGTCAAGCCCGGAATGTGAGACATTCCACAGGACAAAAGAGACTGTTCTACTAGTCAAACAATGGCATGTTAAAACGGAAGGCAACTGGTAAGGAATAAGTCTTAAAAGGATAACAAAAAAGCAAGTATATACTTAGAATTAAGTGATTGGTGAATCATATAAAGAGTCCCTTCAAGCAGTGTGAAGTATTTAGAAAAGCCTTAGTTTTTTTTGTAGGTGGCCTTTGGGGTCAGACTTGGAATTGTATCCTAGCTTCACTACTTTATAGTTGTGTGATCTCTGAGCAGGTTTTTCTGAGCCTCATTTTCCTAATTTCTAACATCAGGATGAGGATAGTAGCCACCTCATTGGGTTGCTGTAAACCTTTATAGGTTGATGTACACTAAAGCCCTTAAAAAGTGCTTGATATGTGTAAATGCACACTACGTTTTAGCTTAGGAAATGAACAACAAATTCACCTCCTCTTAACCTTGAGTTCTGGTGCTTATCTCGGTCAGGTCCAGGCTGGAGCCAGCAAACGCTAGGTATTTCATCAGGGGAAATTTAATGTAAAGAATTACACAGGTGCTGGAAGACTGCAAGGGAAAAAAGAGGATCCAGAGGCGGTGGCTGCAGGGAGTAGTTACCATCCTGAAGGCTGAGGTGTCGAAGCAAGAAGTTGAGATGATTAGATCTTTGTAACTTGGAAAGAGAGCCCTGAGTAGTTGAGACTGTGAACAAGGGTTGTAGCTGCTCCCTGGCATAGGGGAGAAAGAAGGGAGGTGAGAAAGCTGGTTTTAGGAGTGCCCATGGCATTTAGAGACTGAAACCCACTGCTGATACGAACTGCTGACAAATGGGGGAAGAGCCTGTCTTATCTCCTCCATTGTCTTCCAGTCTGTGAAGCTAACAGAACCATAGGCAAAGGAGTGCTTTTGTTTTTATTTGTTTTTAATTTTTTTTTAATGTTTGTTTATTTTTGAGAGAGAGAGAGAGAGAGAGAGAGAGAGTGTGTGAGCGGGAGAGGAGCAGAGAGAGAGGGAGACACAGAATCCAAAGCAGACTCCAGGCTATGAGCTGTCAGCACAAAGCCTGACACAGGGCTCGAACCCCCAAACTAAGATCATGACCTGAGCCGAAGCTGGACACTCAACCAACTGAGCCACCTGGGTGCCCAAAAGGAGTGCTTTTAAAGAGTGCAGAGTCCTAAGCTCAGCATTGAAATGTTGAAAGATGGACCTGGAACCAAGAGCTTAATATCCAGCCAGAGTTCTAACCCACAAGTGAAATTCCACCCCTGTTCTGCCAGTCCTGTTGTAAGCCATTTTCTGTGAGGTCACTGCAGAGGTGACAGAATCTGGGACCTTGGTAGAAACACTGGATGTGATGCTCTGTGGCATTTTATTAAATCCGTTGCTGGATCGTTAATTATTTTATTCCATTATGACTTTTTTTAATATTTGTGTTCGTGTATTGTTTATTTTTTCTTTATATTGCCATATACTGAATGATCAGAAGGGGATTCCTTTCAAGTTCTCTGTATAGTGCATCTTGCATCCTGGGTATGCCAGGCAGAGGTTAAATGGTTTCTAACTATGTAGTTATGGTTAATGATAAAGCACTTAGGGGCCCTGGATTGGCCAACTGTTTGACTGCTTAAGTGTTTTTGGCAGATAAAAATATGAGGAAACTAACTTTGTGAAGGACCTACTGCTGGAGAATTAGGTGGTTTTGTTTTCCCCCCAGTATGTGGAATGTAGCAGTAGAAGGGAAATAGAAGAAAATTTTGTTTCTCCACCTCCCATCCCCTTGCTTTTGAGATACTTGGAAGATTTTTGGTGTGACCAAAATGCTAGAAGGGCCACATCTACAAAGAGTCCTGATGGCCTACAGGCCTGGGTCCTCAGATGCCCAGAGGGACGTGGACATGAGTGCTAAGGATTTGAGGGGATGCCTTCTTGGACAAACAGCATGGAGGTGTGGGATTGTTCGAGTCCCAGCAGAACCCCGGACTTTAAAAGCCTTTGAGAACACTCGGTTTCTTCTTACTCAATGTCTCAGATGGGCCCCATTTCCTAAATTTAAAGAATGTCTTTCTGCATTTAAAAAAAAAATTGCCAAAGCCTCAGGAAAGGACTTTTCAAGGAGAATTTTTTCCAGTTTCATTGTCTTGCTACTTTCCAATCTAAATAATCAAAATTCCTAATAAGTACTCACAGAACTCCAAAAAGGAGTACCTTCTCTGAAAGAAATGTAAGACTCAATAATTATGTAAATGAAATGTTTTAAAGGTTGAGTTAGGTTCTCATTTTTGGGTTGGGCAGTAATAGTAGAATGATGTTCCCAGAGTTACTGGTTTACTGTCTGGGAAAACAGTCTGAGCTACAGTTAGTTGTCTTCATCTGAGGTGTTGTACATGACGATGCCCTGACATTGGCCATGACTGAAGACACTGTATTTTCTAAGGCAAAGATTTGAATATGTATGTGGTCTGTCAAATACTTAGCAGGATTGCATACTTTGAAATCACAGTCTTGGTAGAAAATCCAGAATGTATGCTGGCTTTTACCTCAGGGATTGGATATCCAGTTTTTCCTGGACTTAACTGAGCTGGGAAGATGAGTATCTTGAGAAGAAACTAAAGAGATTTCCACAGTGTAAGGTCTGTTTTTGCCATGTGTGTAGTCTGGTGTGATTGAATAAAGGAAGCAGAAGCTGTCTCGCAGGCTAAACATAGGGGATTAAAGGGAGTTTCTTTATAACTAAAAGCATCCTGCATTTGCATCCAGTCTTCTGACATTTATGAGTTGATCTCAGGTTCTTGACATGAAAAACAAGTAACTATTATACTAAAAATGAAAAACCAAAGGTGTAAGTTGGAATATGCAGCATAAAATACTGTTTGGTTTTCTTCTCCGAGCAGAGTTCTTAATTTTATCTTTCAGAGGTCTTTGTGGTGCTTCATATG